TATCTGGACTAATGGAAATGGACACTTTTTCAACAGAATGCAAGGTCCATTGAAATAATTTGATTTATATATAAGTGAATTTGTGACAGCAAAGGGTCCAAAATGGTGCTTTAGGATTTATTTTATTATTAACATCAGTGCTTCTTATGATTGTCATGAAAGGTAGTGTAGCCCACACAGGTCAGCGTCATACCGGGAATGTTATTCAAGTTCAGGCAACTGCAGAGAGCTTTGCTTTACTGAGGATGGTTTCACGCTGCATCCTGCTTTTAAGTGCAGATATATAACAAAACGTGTCACACAACTGCTGAAAAAACCTAAATAATTGGAGGGAAACAGCTATTGTATATTAATACACCTGTGAGTTGTTTTGGTATTCTCTTTACAGTGTGGTTGAAAGGGCTTTCCTCTAAATCACCATCCAGCTGCTGTTTCCACTGTAGCATTGCTCTCATCTGCCACAGTTCAGCGTAGAATCTCACTGGGAAACTGGATCAGATTCACTTTGAACTGAAGCCACAGCGCTGTCAGCTATCATAGAGTCCTCAGTTCAGTTGCAGTCAACAAGTATAACATATTTCCCTGCACACACACTGTACATACACCTGGCCCTCACTGTGTACTCATACTTTCTGCTGACAAGAGAGTCACACCAAACTTCCTCCTCAGACATTTCTAATCAGCATTTAGCTGTGCAATTAACATATACAAGTGCATCAGCATAGCGGCCAGCATTACACAGACACTCTGCAAATCTGTTTGATAATTGAAGTTTGTGTGAAGTGTGTGTGATGCCACAGTGCTCTGTGCTGTGTGTTTGTGTGTGCATGTGACAGATGGTTTGGAGAAGACACGAGTCTCTACTGAGCAATACTGGAAGTTACAGAGCAGAAGAAAGTAAAGCAGAGCATCCTGGGGACTAGTTACATTTTTGATATTTTCACAGCTTCTTAAAAAGCGGTGTCTTTTGCGGGACACTTTAGTTTTATTGTACCATTTTTGCACAGTGATGTTATTCTCTACAAACAAATAATACAGCCTTGTCAGTGAACGTTGTGCTTTATTTAAAATATGGAGCATTATGTTTACAAATCATAATGCTTATGGCTGAAAATAAAAAGGGGGGAAAACAACACTACAAAACCATCATTGCTTTTACAAGCAGTTATTACTGATATATCTCCATTCGTGGACCAGTTTAGTTGCTTACTGTAATGGGTAATTGGTCATATATAAACAGTGTGACTGTATTTGGAAGAAGGATGAAGCTAATATCTGCATAGCTGTTGTGTTATTTCACAAAAATCATGCATTTGCCTTCAGATTTTGTCCAGAAGTAGACATGGGCGGATCTAGAACTTTTGGGGTAGGGTGCCCAGGCTGGGGCACAGACTCAGAGAGGGGTGGCACATTTGAAATGCATGTAAAACGTAAAGTACACCCTTAGTTCTCTGAAATAATAAATTATATATTATTAAGAATCAAATAGTTTATTTTGTGTAAAAATGAGACCCACGTCGTACTTTCTTTAGCTAACTTTGGCTGCGCTCCTTATTTACTCTCAGCTGGGGACCCCATCCCCTGCACTGCACAACCTACATTTGGAGAGGTGCTATATAAATAAGAACTGTTTGATTACTAAGTTTAATCACTCACAAAATCTACAATATGGGTATCCTATTTTACTTCGCCCATGACCCATAATTAATCAAATAATAAAGCACGATTTGTATTTGAACCCACCTTCAAAAGAGTGTAAACTGAGTTCAAACCTGTGTAACAATTAATGTTAATTGAAATATAACAGTGGGCTATATTGCACATTGTTCCTGCATGCACAGGCAATATCTTAAATTTGAGAGGGAAATATTTGGTTTGGGTTGAAGCTTTCTTGAATTGAGCAATCAATGCTCATATTTCATGCAGAAAACCAATATAAAAGAGGCAAAGACACCACCAACTTCAGCATCAGCAGCCTCAGTGTTTTGCATTATAGATTTCCTTTTCACATTTCTTACATTTAGTGTCAGTATTTGTCAGCGGCATATCATATTGGTACACCCACATTAATGGTGTTTTTGTAATTGAATGGATGGGCAAAATCATCGCCAGTGTAAGGGAATCACAGCTGAAATGATTCAAGGGTGAGATTTCTCTTCAACTGTACATAAGCCGATGCTACTACTGCAGCACAAACCGCTGGTGACTGATCTCAGACCTGGAGACGCGGATGGCTTTGTGTGACTTTCTCAAACCTAGTTTAGCATACATCTGTAGTCGTGACTTCATTGAATCTGCAAGTTGTACTGTATGCAACCAGTACTGCCTCACAGCTGTCAGGATCAAAGGGAGATTGGTAGTAGTGAGTCAGTCATTCTTTATTCAGCTCTGGAAATATGTGGAGCACGAGAGAGAGAGGGGGGAGAGAGAGAGAACACGAGTGGTGGGAGTCTTGCTCTAACTCATCTCTCCACTTTGGTGCTTTCATACCATTCATCTCATACCTCTTTTATACCACTCTTTTCCCCCTCCACCTCTTCCTCCACCATCCAGCCCCCCAGTGGGTCTCACACCTCGTTCACATTCCTCTCTTATACGCTCCCACCTTTTCATTTTGGCACTCTGGCCTCCTGCCTTTATCATTCCCCTCTCTCGACATTTTATCCATCTATCTATCCTCTCTTCTCACTTTCCTGCCAAAAGCTCATCCCACATCTCTGAGATCTATGTGTCATTCATTCAGTTGTTGGCTGAATCACTGCCTGTCTCTCTCTCTCCACAATATGTCATCACTTCCATTAACTGAGGTTAGGAATGACTGCTCCTTAATACCAATGTGAGCCAACAACTTCCTCACTTTTTCCACTCTGTCTCCTGCCACACTAGGCTGCCCAAATTGAAAACACTGTTAATGGGTGAAAATGTGTCCACACATTTTGTGTGTGTGTGTGTTCATGAAGATCACTGTTTGCACTAAAATTCAGTAGGAAAATTATTACATTTGTTCTTTTGCCTAACATGGTATAATTTTTTTTTTTTTGAAAAACCACAATACAATGTTTTTGAATACCCTTTAAAATGTACAGTGTTTGGTTGGTGGCTTGTCAAAGATACCTCAGATTAGAATGTGAATACTCGAACCAAGCCCAACAGGACCTGTCGGTATCCGAGGGTTTGGGCCAGACTCAAACACATAGGTCAGTCTTTAAGCAAGACGGCTGGAGCACTCAAATGTTTGCTTTGGTTAATGATAAAGGGGAAAACACTGTACAAACCCAACTTCATTGGAGTCGGGTCAGGATCAGACATTATATACTATAAGCATGTCAGGTCAGGGTTGGATTAGAACACCACACTTTCGGGCATGGGTCAGTTTCAGACAGAAATATGCAGCCCAATCCATGCTCTGTCTCAGATGGGTGGGGTTCTGGAGGGGGAATCTGATGACTAACTTCAGTATTTCTAAAGTCCTGACTACAGCCTGGGTTTGGTTACTTTGCTGAGTTTCAGATGGTTAAATCCCCTATTCTGTCCTTCTCTGTTCTCCATTATCACATGTTGCATCACAGCCATATTCACACTTAGCTGCTTTTATTTACAAAAACTTGTTTCTGTTTGTCAATGATTATAAATTAGTGGTTTAAATAATACACTGCTACCACTTAAGTAATAGCAGTAACAGTATTACCTGTACTACTGTAAATCCTTTATTTGTGAGTGAAATAACCTGACAATGTAAATATGACTCAAAGACAAAACCTCTTTTGTCTGATTGACTTTACTAAAATTTTAAACGAGACACAAAAAATACTGGCTTTGTAACTTTGCTGCATGTCCAATAATATGTTTTCAGGTGTGAAAAATGCTTGCAACACTTTCTGTCAGAGACTCACATGCAAATTAGATGTAGAGAGAGAAGAATGGAGAGAGCAGCTTTTGGGCCATTCAGGATTTTGACACCAAAAATCTAATTCCATCAAACTGGATGACACTGAAAAGGGTGTAGAGTCTGCTTTTGAAATGGAGCAAAAGGAAGTAGAATGGGAAGTACATGGGCTCAGAGCAAGAATTTTGAATGAAATTCAAACATAAGAGAGAAAGGGATGCATTGCAGAACAGCATGTATAGACACGAGAGCTTTTAGGCAGTTTATATATGTGTTGATTTAATCTCCATATGTCTCTGTCAGTGTGTGTTTGCATGTGGACGCCCACCGGCTGTTTGCAGAGCAAGTTGCAGGAGCAGTTCTGATGTTCTGACTCCAAAGACTCCCTGTTTGAAATAATCTGCCAGCTGCTACCACACACACATACACACACACCGCTTCTTACTAAGTGTATCATCAAGGAATCAAAGGCAGTCAACAGGCGTCTGCTCTTTCTTCAGTCTGTTCCTCATTTGTAGTGCTGATAATATGGGGAAGAGTGTGGCTGGATGAGTTACGCTGTTGATATGATTCATTCTATGTTGCTTTTTTTAGGGGCGTTCTCATGTCTTGGAATGAAAAAAAGTAGAAGAGCACATAGAGCAAGAGAGCTAAGGAGTGAAAGGAAGATTAAAGAGCAAAGGCAAAGAGAGGGATGAAAGAGATTGGTAGGAGATAAAGGTAGAGGAAAAGGGGAGTAGGGAGAGTGTGAAGAGGGAGAGCCACAGTAGTGTGTGTGTGTGTGTGAGTGAGTGTGTGAGTGAGTGTGCGAGTATGTTGGCCCATCTAACAAGAAAGATGTGCTGTATCATAATATAGTGGAACACTAAACAGCTGAAATGAAAAGTACCCCCATACAACAAGCACACACACCGGCACACACTTCCCATGGCAAGAAACAGCAGTGTGTCTGTTTCTGAGTCGGAATGTCATGTGTATTAACTTTTCTTTCCTGTTCTGTCCCACCTTTTCCCCTGTTTTCACTTTCTTATCTCTTCATTTCTCCATCACCGGCCTCCTTTTTTCCTCCTCACTTCTTTCCATCTCCTTCCTCTTTATGCTTCCCGGGACCCAGAGAAAGGTAACTGCTCTCCGCAGTCTGACTGTGCTACTCCATTATCAGTAATCATTGTATAAAGACTTCTGTGCAAACACAGCGGTCACTTCAGGCATCACATCAGAGGCTTTGCATTTCCCAGAGTCACTACTGGTCCTTACAGGAGGGCCGCAGCATCCTCTGAAGGGCCAAATCACTAGTGTTAAATCTTTAGCGAGCCAGACTGGCCACAGACTATTTCCTATTAAGAGTTGCATGCTGTTTTATGGTGTTTTGATCCTCCATAGATGGTACAGAAGTCATAAAAGAACCATTTGTAGTTTACGCACCAAGGCCAATCATGCTGCTTCTGTGACACACTGCACAAATATCCCTGGGTGAAGTGCACTTGAAGCATGCATACACCACACACACACATTCCATTGTACTTTCCTTCCTGGCCACAGGCAGGGAGCATTATTGACCTAAAGTGTGTGAGCACACAATTAAGCAGAGCAGACAGGCCAGATAATGGACTCATAAACACAAAAAGCCTGCTGTGATAAATGCCAGTTGTGTTTGCCATATTTCTGTGTGGTGGTTCAGTGCACTGTACAAGTGTGTTTGCATGCATGAAGCTGTTCAGGTGTGTCTAGTGACACCGCCATCCACTTGGCTTGTCTGCATGTCCCCACTCCTCCTCTTTCACTCTGCATTGTCTCCTTACTCACTCCTGGCTGGAAACACATCCTCCTACCTTTTGTCCTGTAGCTTGTCTCACCTGTTTATGAGGAAGAAACGTGTCTATATTTCAACTTGTCCATGTGTGTATGTGTGTGTAGTATCTCCCACATGTATCTGTGTTTCATCTCCCACCCACTGCATGAAGCTTCTTTCTCAGCGGAGCTTCCTCTCTCAGTCTTGCCCTCATCCACCCCATTTTTCTCTGCCGTGCGGCTCCACTGCCGAGCTCTCAGCACACGGTTTCCCCAGGCAGTGGGACAAACATCTGCCTCTCTGTATGCATGTGTGTCATTGTAGCCAAATTTGGCAACCAGTGAAGGAATAACTAAGGTCAGAGAAACCTATTATTGTTATGGAGCCACATCATCCAACACATGTCACATGTTAAAGGAGCTTTCTTTTAGTCAAATAAAACCTAAGTGCTGCACAAGGAATTACACTAGCAGAACGTATGTCAGCGTGGCAAATGACACACATAATGAAGGTAATTTTTCACAATAAATGAGTGAGCACCAATATGAAAACACTAGAAAAAGAGGTAAATATATATCATATATCATGATGCAAAACGGGGTAGTAATACCTCTGTTGCTATTTGTTTTTTAAACTTGTGTATGAAATGAATTAAAATGAAAATAGCCGGGTTCTGCTCCATTGCTGAACAGCTCCTGGAGCAAACAGGTGCAAGAAGAGGATTGGAAAGTTGTTGTTTTAGAACAGAGGACGGGTCCAGTGCCAAGCTTTTTTTGAAGCTTGCAAGGAGTCACCTCCTGACAACACATATAGAATGGAGAAAAGATGTAAAATGCACTGCAAAGGAGCAGCAGTAAAATATGTGCTCAAACACTGGGGAGGAATTTCTGATGGAAAGCAATCAAGTGGGTTGATGGTTATTCCCTGATTTTTGAGCCTAATAACCCACAAGAAACATGAAAACAACAGGAAAAGCTGTTGAAGGAAATCTACATTTCACATGTTGACCCTAAGCTACTGTAGGTTCCCTCTGGGAAAAGGTGTCCAAAGCCCTTAAAAAGGAATTCATCACAATATGCAACAATGTCCAATGTCCAGGTGTTGCTGTCTGAGCAGTAATGCCAGAGAGAATGGGTACAATCTATTCACTGCAAAAACCATTAGGTAGCGGCCATTCAGTGTATTGAAATCAGATACTGAAATAGATAAAACATGACTCTCCCACAATCACTATATGGAATGAAGAAGTGTGATGAGATGGAACAAATATGATAAAGGCAAAAAAAAAGATACAAAAAGATGAAATCCTCTGTTGGATGCAGTGAGATAAATTGTCCTATTGTGCATTTTCTTTATGCTAACCTACAAGTCTTCCCTTCTTTCTCCCTTATGGGACACATACTGTATGCATACCCTCACCTCATGCCACATGCTAAAGGAGGGAACAACCTGCCTTTTTCTTGTTTTTCTTTCATCCCTCATTCCTAAATTATAAGCTTTTCACTCTGCTGTTTAATTGTGAGTTTCACAGCAGTTGTGGTCATTTAGTTTTCTTTCCACATATAACCATAAAAGTTATAGAGGGCAGCTGGGAAGTGTGTGAAAAGAAAGCTGTATAATTTGCTGAAATTTAAATAAAGAATAAGTATATAGGCTGGAAAATCACCCACCTGGTGAGGTATAATTACTAAATCCCCAGTATTATGGCACAAGAGAGATTCTTACTTACTGCCCCTTTAGCAAAGCAAAATGTTTGGAGGTGCATAAATGTTATGTTTGTTTCTTCGCTCCATCAAAAATACATGTGAGTTGACACCTGTGTTTTCTGTTTATGCTTAAGGGACTTTGCCTACGTGGCGAGAGACAAAAACACACGGGTGCTGAAGTGCCACGTGTTTCGATGTGATACTCCTGCTGCAGTCATTGCCACAAGTCTTCACGAAATCTGCTCTAAGGTATGTCATTCCCATCACCACCTCCGCATGAATGAACTCATCTGCTGCTCTGAAACAAGCTATCAAGTTTTAATCAGGGCAACTATTGGAGAGAGAGAGAGAAATCTTTTTCTGCTGATGCAGTTATCCAGAGCTCCTGTACTTTTTAAGGTTGTAACTCAGCTGATCCTCCTACATGCAGGATATAAAACTAATAGCCAGGAGTGCAAAGCCCAGTCACCGTGCCCAGGCAAGATTGCTGTTATCTTCTACGAGAGATATAACAGTTGAGGAGAGAGACGGAGGAGAGTTTTCAGAGCCTTTACAGTGAGAAGAGGAGATACTTACAGATTACAGAGCACATGCAGCGTTTCTTGAAAAGAGTTTTCTGTGTAAGAGAGATATTACCAACAGTGTGTTAACCCCAGGAACAAGGAATCACGGATTCTTAAAGGTGAAAAGCTGCAGAATAAAGTCACATACTTGATTGACACATACACACTTTCTCTTTCACACACACCCTCACACAGGCTTGTCATTCTATAGTAGTGAGGGCACTCATTGCATTCACTAGCCCCTAATTTAAGATGAACCATTACAACTGAAGGCCTAAGGTCAATCCTTACCCTAACCCTAAAATCCCTTATCCCTCAAACTGCCCTGAATTTCTGAGGACTGGCCAAAATGTCCTCACATTGATGGTACTGTAATAAAGTTTGTCCATGCAACTGCAGAAAGACGTGCACACACAATCAGACTAAACACTAATCCTGTCGTCTTCCAGTGCGGTCACTCTGCCTTTTACAGCAGGTCTGAGTTTCCTCTTTGCTTAATATCCTCACACTCACTTACTGGTTGTATCTTGAATGAGATTTCATTGGCAAAAGAATAAAATAAAAACTCTGATTTCACTGACTCTTATTGAAAAATCTGAACCAGTGAAATTTAACTAAACAAATACAGTGAGCATTGTCTATGGGCTCATGGTGGATTAAGGGATGCTGCAAACAAAGTGATGATTCAGTTTTCTCTTGTCAATAACAACAAATGAAATCATTGGCAGCAGACTGAAGTTGCGCCAAACAGATGTCGTTCTGAAATGTCTCTTCTCAGCACAAAGACTTACAATACAAGACACAGTTGGCACCAACAAATCAACTGTTGGCCTCATCTGGATGAACCTCCCATCCATTTGCTCTTTAACTTGAGTCAGCTGTGGCTGAATCTCTGTCATGCTTTGACTCTACGTCAGCTTCACTGCTGGAATAAAAACTGTCTGAGCCTCCATTATGTGAGTTGGTACCTGCTCAGATATGGTGACCTCCTGGCTCTGACAGCTTCACTTTACACGACAGATTCCTCCCATTCATGTAGGTGTTGTAGAGGGCACATGAATTCAAGGGCAGCATCCACATGAGACCTGGTGTTCCTGTCACTGGCCAGGTCACTGTGATCGACCCGTGCCTTGGGGCTTGCCTGGGACTGATCCTCTTCTCAGTATCCAGATGAAGTAACCCAGTGAACAGACCTTTGTTAAGGGACTATGACCATTTAATTTTCTCCCCCATCAGGTGTCACACATACAGTACTGATTCCTTATATAGAAACCCTTTGCTTTTCTCACACACACTTGTAATTATATCTTTGTCAGGACACTCATGGGCATAATACATTCCCTAGCCACTTACCCTTACCTTAACCATTAGAACTAAATGCCTAACCTAAACCTAATTCTAACCTGAACCCTAAAACCAAGTCTTAACCCTCAAAAAGGTGTTTCAGAAAGTGAGGACTGGCCAAAATGTCCTCAATTTCCAAAAATGTCCTCACTCTGTAGCAAAAACATACTTTTTTGGCCCTCACTATATAGCAAGCACAAGAACACACACACTCAGAGACACTGGTCTGTCCCTTGTAAAGGACAAAGCTTAGAAATACAGATCTTCCCCCTTAGAGGCATGGTGACCCATTTAGAAAGGAAAGATTTTTTCTGTTAAATTCTACTATACCAAATTGAAGGCAGGGTGTGTATCTGTGAAAATGTATGTCTATATGTGTGTAATTCTTCACAGCACTTGTTTACATCCTACAGGCTTGCAGCTGCGCAGCGCACTGAGTGGCCTTTTGTGTGTGTGTGTGTGAGAGAGAGATTGTGTTTATGTGTCTTTTTGCATGCTGCTCCCCTGTGAGCAGAGTTGCAGACTCTCTTCCGTAGGTTTTGATTAATGACACCTACAATTAATCAGGTATCTGTAGCAGGAAGTGCAGTGGCTCAGTGCAGGAGCCATGCAGACTGTTCAACATTATTTAAAGGGTGTGTGCACTGCAGCAGAAGAAGAGCAGAAGTAAAGAAAATAGACAAAGTACTTTTTTCTGGACAGTTGATTTTAAATATATCATTTGGAAGAGGTCTCTAGGGAAAAGACTGGTGTTCTATTCTTTTTCCCTTGTGTCAATAAATCCCATGAAAACACAAAAACCGACAATCAATTGATCTTGCGTAGCCACAGTCTGATGCACCATTATTTTCCAAACGCTATTAACAACACATCAGTTACTACCACTGTTATACTGGGTGACATTGTTTCATTATGAGGAACGCAGGCACTATATTTGTTTGGACTCAATCCAACACACACTGTCCTGCTGCTCTAAATACTCACTATAGTGCACCAAATCTGTAGCTGAAAATATTTGTTTACTAAAGCTACAGTGCCCAGCTGTTTTGGGAACTCAACTTTTTTGAAAAAAATAAAAAATAACACTATATAGTATATTTGCGACCAGTTTTACATCTTAGGGAAATGGTAAAGATTTATAAGAATCGACTTGCACTGTTGGTTTTGTTTTCCCTCCTTGGGATTTGTAACAAAAAATATAGGATATGACTGGACTTATTCTTTAAATTTTTGCTGCTTGAAAATATTTTTTAATGCTTATGTGTGAAAAATCTATACCTTTCCTTCTCTCCATTCTCTCGTTTCTTCCTGTGTTTTATCCCCCTCTCTCCTCATTTTTCCTTTGCCTTTCTCCAGATTATGGCTGAAAGAAAAAGTGCCAAGGCTGCAGCTGGCAGCTCCTCCCAGAATGGCTCAGATGTACCCCTACAAGGTATAAACACACATACACACAATGCTTTTCTTTCTTCTTTCTTTTGTAGTTCCCTCATAAGAGAATTGGATTTGATAGTCATGTGCTATGTACCCGGCTTTGGTTTCTTGTTTCATTGCAGTATTCTTCCACATCCACCATGTATACTGGTTTTAAAAAAATTACCTCATCACCTCAGGAGCCACATTTGTTAGCAGAAAAGATAGCCATATTTGTTTCAATTACACATAGATAATGCCGACTCCAGAACAACTCCTAGCTCACAATCACTGAACTTCACACTTGCAGATCTAATGTTTTTCACCATTTCCCATTTCCCTCTAAGTCCCAGTGCTTGTTCATCTTAGTCCCAAGTAATTATAGGAAAAAAGACAAAACACGCCAGCACCATTCATCCTCGCCTCTAACTTCAACCTGAATGTGTATCTGTGGTATGTGAAAGAAAAGAGCTCCAGCATCAGAATATAAAAGAACTGTATTGGCTCTTCATTTAACGGAGGCAGTCAGCCTCATTAAAACCCAATTAGTGTTCCTTTGAGGTGAGGCCTGGAGCTCGACAGTGCCTACCCCAAGCCCAGCATCAAAGAACTTGTTGGTGAAAGATCCCTCGCATCGTATAAAGCTGTAAGTTGCTCGAGCTTTTTCATTCAAAAACCAGTTGGTATGGAGTGAGAGGTGCTATGCTTACAGCAGATAAAGCAGTCGATAATGTGGTGCTAGAGGCTAACTAAAGCTGTCTTTGTAGCGAATGGAAAACAGGTCTTGTTCTCACCTGAATCAGATCGCTTTGTGGGTTTGTGATTGAAGCACATTCAAGGAGATGGCATTAACAACGAATGATTTGGAAAAAGCACCAGAATAATGGCCATGCTGTCCTCATTGGATCTGGCCTGTCTGAGCTCTATTGCAGATATGGAATTAGTCTGTGAAAACTTCTCAGTGTTCATCATTCATGATAACACTGTTTTCAGGACTTGAGTGGTTCATACTGAATGTGTGAAAATTTAGGGACTTATTCCATGATGAGGTGAATCCAGGTAAAAGCCATTATCCCTGATTGATTTCCCTTAATGAGTCCCTACCAATCACATGGAGCAGAGTTCAGGGTGAATTGTTAAAGGATAAGACTGGTCATTTTCCATATTAGTATTTTCAGCAGTCTCCATACAGAGACTAAAACCAACAATGAATTGCCTCTACTCACAGGTAATGTCTGTCGGTGTGTCAGTATGTAATGTAAACTAAGCAGAGCTCACGCAAGATCTCGGGCATGCACAGTTGACTCACACTCCTACTAACTTCAGGAAATTATGGCTGCATGGAGCCTTTGGGGCAACATAGCCAGATCTGGTGTTATGAAAAAACGTGTCACCCAGTGCAGCGGTGTGTTTCCCTGATGTGTTTTAATTGTTTTTGTACAAAACCAAAGCTAGTCCAGAACTGACACAATGACAGACATTAATCGTGAGTAGAGGCAGTTCACTGTCGGTCTTAGTCTCTGTATGGAGATAGTGTAGCTGAAAATACTACTAATATAGAAAATGACTAACCATATCCTTTAATCTCTGATGTTTAGTAAATAAAATGCAGATGGGGTAAAATGGACTGAAGCTCAAATGAAGAAAGATGTAACATTGTTGTCATTTAGTGTTTTGCATTTCACCTTGTCAGAAATCATCTCAGGCTTGTAAGGCTAATTGTGTGGTGTGTTAATGGTGAGGTCCCCGGGGGTGAAAGATGTTAACTCCTACACTGATTGAGATGCAGGGGATACAGCATCTTTCACTCTGTGTGGCTTTTTTTTCTGCCCATAGGCAATTATGAAAACAGACACAGCTGAGATTTCATGCAGAAAATCCTGCATACTTGTGTTTGAATGTATTTTCTCATGCCCTGATCACAAGAGCAGCTTTTTGAAGTATTAAAATATTCACCAGTGTTTGTTTATTTTTCTAGTACATTCCAATTATCATGTGTGGACTTCTCTTTTGGAATTTTGCGTTAGATGTTGCGTGATAAAATTCCCTGCTGGCAGTCTCTGTGTGTGTTTTCCAGCATGTGTTTGTGTGTTTTCTCTCTGCAGAGTTTCCCATGCCAAAGACTGAGTTGGTGCAGAAGTTTCGTGTGCTGTATTTGGGTATGACATCTGTGTCTCGACCTATAGGTAAACTGATCCCATACTGAAACCTAAACACACAGTATAAGACATTCTCTGTACAGTAGTAAATCCCTCCACACACTGTTTCACTGCCTGGACTCTGTTTTATCCTCAGGTATGGACATCATAAATGGAGCCATAGACAACCTCATCTCCTCCACAGGCAAAGATGACTGGACTCCTGTCATTCTAAGTATTGCTGACACCACGGTGGCTGTCATCAAAGAAAAGGCAAGGGACTTTATGTTTCTATCCTGAGGACCAGCAAATAAATAAAAGATGTGCCTATCGATTAGAGAGGGGAGGTCTAATAGAGCTCTGACTCTCCTCTTTGATGGCTGTGTAGGAGGAGGAAGAGGAGGTGCTGGTGGAGTGTCGTGTCCGTTTCTTGTCCTTCATGGGTGTGGGACGGGATGTGCACACATTTGCCTTCATTATGGACACGGGGAACCAGCATTTCCAGTGTCATGTGTTCTGGTGTGACCCCAATGCAGGCAGTGTGTCTGAAGCTGTGCAGGCAGCATGTGTGGTAAGCTGATATTTATTTGTGTTGTTAGAAAATGTGATGTGGAATATATTGTTTTTTTTAAGTCACTATTTCAAAATGAATAATAAAGCAAATTCTGTATTTCAATGAATAGTTTTGGGATACTACTTTCTTGTCTGTGTGGTAAATATGAAGCCCCCTGCAGGCGCTAGTTTAGCTCACCAGAAAGAATGGCAACAGCCTGGTTCTGTCAAAAGATAACAAAACCAACCTACAAGCACCCCCTGAGCTCACTAGTTAATATGCTATATCTCATTTCTTATATCCATATAAAATTCAGAGTAAAAAAACAACATATACTGTAGTTTTACAAAGGATTTTCTGCTAAAATGTGCTGGATTTTGCTATTTTTGATCAGAGCCATGCTTCAGTAGCTACTGTATTTCCCCCGTTGACAGTCTTTGTGCTAAGCTAACTGGTTGCTGGCAGTAGTGTCATACTGTCAATCTTTTCATATAACTTTTGATAAGAAAAGGTGTATTTCTCAAAATGTCGTTATTCCTTTAAAAAAATGAACCACAAACGGCAAGCAACATACATTTCGCCTTAGATTTTTCTTCATTTTAACACAAAAATCAAATAATTAAACATCATCTAACCCTGTCCTCTTCTTCAACAGCTGCGGTATCAGAAGTGTCTGGTGGCCCGGCCACCGTCACAACGCGCTGATTCCTCCTCCTCGCCCTCTGCAGACTCGGTGACCCGGCGGGTGACCACCAGTGTGAAGCGTGGCGTCCAGTCTCTCATAGATACTCTGAAACCCAAGAAACAGCCATCAGAACTCCCCCAGCAATGACTGTCACCAGTGACCACAGCTCCCCCCAGCTGATGCCTGGGTGCCACTCTCACTATCGCCACGACAACACCTAATCAGTACTAGCCATGGTAACCAATGATGTATATATAAATATATGTTAACAAAAACCACCACAGATGAAGGAAAGAAGAGCAATCCTCAAGTATGTCTGATGAAAAAAAAAGAAAACATAGCTGTTTCATGAGGAGGAAACGTGCAGCATGCTTGCAGTTGTCACTAGTTGAACTTTGACCTCTGAACGCTGCTGTGTCCAAGTGGAAACCACCTTACTGTATGCATATTTCTGGGCTACACTGATCACCTGATCAAGCACTCTACAGACAGGACACAAGAGCACCCAGATGAAAAAGATCCAAGTCCTATTAATAGACTGGTTTGTGGAACCACTCAATTTTTCTTCATGCTCTGTCCTCTTCTGTAAAAACATCAGCACAGTAAGCGCTCCTGTTCTGGGCGGCCATGATGCAAAACTACAGAAGCACTCCAGGATAGACAAGGAGTTGTGTTTGTGTCATAAGAATGACAGGTGAATGAGAGGAGCGACCACGACCACACAGACAGGACCTGTCAACAGCCTCCAGCTGCCCACCGAATGACATGAAAATGTTTTCACCCCTTCGATGTGTGACAACCTTGGAACAGAAAAGAAAAACATCTCCTCTGAGAATGAATGAAGTGAGTGTCATAATGAAGTGTATGATAATGATTGTATGTAGGAAGAGAGAATCTAGGGCACAAAACTTGTAGATATGAGGGAAAGATGAGCTGTTTGTGACAGAAAAATGTTACAAATGTAGGTTTTGATTTTGCATGTTTTCTTGACAGGATATATTTTATGTTGATGAGTTAGTAAGGGTCTCAGTAAGAAGAGTGGTGAACACAAAAGAAATAGATGCTCCCTGCACAAGTTATCACCACTTGACCATGACAGGATTCACTCTGGCACACAAAAAAAAAAAATCTGGCCTATTTCTAA